TAGAGACTATATGTAAGTGATCTTTTGCCAAAAGAAATGGGTGAAGAAAAAAAAAAGAATGTATTCCCCAATAAAAGATCACATAGGTCTTTCTTTCAATGACAATAACAACTCATAGATTACCTTAGAAAAATTGGCAAAATCCAAGAAACTTGGCTTAGCCCAAGTCAACTCAACCGAGTCCTTGAATAAGGAGAAAGAAAGAGAGAGAGAGAGAGAGGGGGGGACAATGGCCAATGCTCCATGGGTAGTCGTAAAGGACAAAGCTACCAAAGGTGAAACTTATAAGGGCCATTTAGATACCTGGAAATATATTGTCCGTGAAATATATTACAGCCGTAATACCCCAGCTTGTTGTCCGGCCTTTTGGGGTTCAATCTGCTCGAAAGTCCCCCAACTAGCACATAACATACAGATCCACCTATCATATTGTGTCTGATTGTCCAGCCAATCCATTTTCTCTTTCAAAGCCTTGCCTACTGGGTAGAGAGATGGATATTTCTGTCTTATAGGGAACAAGAAATTCGAAGCCTATAGAACCTTTTTTTCCCGTCATTCCGCCTCATTTTCAAAATCGATTGGTTGGGGAGAGAGAGCAAATAGAGATACATTGTGGGGAGATGGAGAAGAATTTCGCCACCCTAACTATTGATCTGGAACGGAACCGGAAGAGGGGGAAGTCGATTCGATGAGTGGAGATCTATGAATGCACCTCTCTTGAATCGGCGTCAGAAGATCGATAAGAATTCAATCCAGAGCTACATTACCTACAAATGGACTGTCGCTATTTGGGTAGTATTTAGATGCAACTTGGAAAATACATTGTTGGTGTTTGGCTATGTTGGAAGAAATATGAGAATTGCATTACCATCTAAATATGAAAAATATGGCTATCTTTGGCGAACATGATTAGATTTTGATTTCAACATGATAAGTCATTGGAATAATATGATTGGAATCAAATGATTTTATTGTGATAAGCTTTATTTTTATTTATTTTTTATAGAAGTCCTTCAAATGTCTCTCTATATATAATTTCAAATAAGCAATAAATTTATGATACCAAAATCAAAATCTTTATGGTACAAGTTAAAAATGGGAAGAAGCTTGATTAGTTAACTAGAAGGTTTGGTAATTGCAGTAGAAAATTTTAAAGCATTGGAGGAGACTAAAGAGGTATCTTATTTCAATTGAGCTTTTCCAAATCTCTTATGAGGATTATATTATGTGAAATTTTTTATTATGATTATGTTGTATAATTTCTCATCGATTACCGATTATTATTTTTATCATTTTTTTTTTATAGAGAGCTGAATCTTATTTCAAGTGAGCTTTTTCTAATCTTTTATGAGGATTATATTGTGTGAAATTTTTTATTATGATTGTGTTGTGTAATTTCTTATCGATTACCAATTATTATTTTTATTATTTTTGTTTTTATACGAGAGCTGTGAGCGGGCTACAACCCAAATTGGAGATAGAGGGATGTAGAAATTTTTTTATTATGATTGCAGTAGAAAATTGTCCCTCATCAACAATTGTTCAAATCAATTTAAATTCAATTATTAAAAAATTTTGTTTTTATATGAGAGTCAGATGAGGGCTACAACCCAAATTGGGGATAGAGGGATGTAAAAAAAATTTATTATGATTGAAATAGAAAATTGTCCTCGTATACATGTTCAAATCAATTTAGATTCCCTTTTTCATATCCCGACTTTTACTTTCTATTTACCTTAATAATTATACAATACAACATATACTTGAGAGAGGGAAATGTTTTTTCACCGGGAATAGGCAGAGAGACGCATTCGTAAGATTTCCAAAGTTTACTCGTCAATTTCGTAGTATATTTTTCAATCATCACCGTACGTAATGGATTTCATGATTTTTGAGGAATCTCAGGTAATGTCTTTCCATTTCTTTTACTATTAAATGTACCCAAACAATGTAAATATCATATTTCCTTGTAATCTATTGTGATGTAATAGATTTTCATGTACCCAAACGGGCCCATAATGAATAATAATACATGTGAAATCTCAGCCATCAGATCTTGAGCGAGTAGTTATAAATGCATGTCATCATTTAAATTTTAATCTTTTCTCTATAAATAAGATTGAGATGAAAGTTTACATGTATATACCTAACACCATCATGCGCTACAAAAATATTAAAAAAAAAAAATTCAAAACTTTAAAATGACCAAATTACCCTCATCATTTTTTGAGTATTTTGGTGATATTCGCTTTATAATTTTTCTTGTGCGCTTATTTTTTTAGTATAGACA